ACAGTCCTATTATATTATATATAGTATATATATATGAATATAAATTTAAATATAAATTTAATACAAATATAATTCTTCATGCACACATCGGGTAAAAAGTGGCAAGAGGGGTTTAACAGGTTCTGAATATTTCGAACACAAATAATTTACGCATGGCAAACAATGACCCGCCGCACACCAAAAAAGATTGCACCTTCATCGCGAAATTTAGAAGATGATCCGAGAAGACTGCCAGCAGCGTAGAGCGTTCACGAAGAGAAATCTCTGCGGCGCTGCGGCGGCGCGCCGATGCCGAAAACCCATAGTACCCTCGATACGAATCGACATTATGCCACTAACGCCCAGTGGCCACTGCCAGTGCATGTGGTGGTCGCTAGTTATGGTGTAGTTTTTTGCCTAGCGTTCAATTAGTTAAAGTGCAGCTCTTTTATTTCAGCCTGTAGGCTTTGCGTAGGTAAATGGATGAGTGGCTGTACACTTATTCTGTCTTGCAAATAGTTGTTGCTATAACTACGTACGTATGGAAGCTTCCAGCTTTCCATCGTTAATCCTTAATCACGTCACAAATCACGTACCGCGCCATGGCTCCGTGGAACTTTCCATAACGATCCCAACGATAAATTCTTCTTACGAGAAGTTCCTGATTACCATCCCATGTTCGAAATAAGGGCTATGTCGCGTTTGTCCGACTTGTCCATTTCCACGGAGCAACATATGTAGATCTGTCAGGTAGCTTGTCCGCGCGAACAAGCAGCTTTGTTAGAGGCAATATTTTTATAATTCTACCACGAAGCCTCGCGGCTGGCTGTGAGAAACCTGAGTTAACATAGTATTATAATCATGGCTGTACGAGTAGCCACCCGAATTATCATATATAATAATACATTTATGTAAGTTATATTAAAACATGTACGCGGCTTGCTAGCGGCCAACGAAGCGTCTTGCTAGGTTAGAAACCCATCAGACAATCAGTTCTCGATAGATGCAATCAGACACTGTATATGACAATCAGCCGTATCAGGATCGTCGTCAGCTCAGCGCTACCTCAACCGCCATCGAGAATAGAGAAATTGAGAGTGAGAGCAGAGGAGAGAGAGCGCGAAGAGAGGAAGCAGAGAGAGAGAGAGAGAAGAGAGAGAGAGGAAGAGACGAGAGAAAGACGAAGAGAGAGAGAGAGAGAGAGTGAGAGAGAGAAAGAGAGAGAGGAGAAGAGGAGATGATAAGAAAGAGCGAGAGGAAGAGAGAGAGAGAGAAAGAGAGAGAGAGAAAGAGAGAGAGAGAGATGAAGAGAGAGAAAGAGAGAGAGAGCGGCCAGAAAGAGTAGATAGAAAGAGAGAGTAGAGGAAAGAGAGAGAAAGACAAAGACAAAGAAGGAGAGAGACAACGAGTTGAGTGTGAGCGAGCGAGAGAGAGAGAGAGAGAGGGAAGAGAGAGCGGGCAAAGGGAAAGGAGAGCAAGAAGAGAGAGAGAGAGAGATGAGAGAGAGAGAGTGTATCTAGCGAGAGAGTCGTGACGAGCCGATGAGAGAGAGCAGAGCGAGCAGAGAGAGGAGAGAGAGATGAGCGCGAGGGAAGACAGATGCAAGAGCGAGAGAGCGAAAGAGAAAGAATGAGAGACAACGAGGGAGAGGACGATCACGCGCAGATGGGTAGGGTGCTCTTGATTCGTTTGCCCCTGAGTTTAGCATCAGAACACCTGCCGTCAGGTGAGCGCTGTCGCTCTGCGGCATTTGTTCTCACGTGTGTGTGTGTGATTGCAGGGATGTCACACAAAGGTGGGTACTCACATTCGGCATTCATCTATGCCCTGAAGGAGTGCGACTACAGACTCATCGATACAGCCGTCCGATACAACAACGAGGATGAGATTGGCCTTGTGGTTAAGGTGCTTTACATTGCATTATTGCGGTTAGAATCATCTGAGTGTTGTTCACCGTTAAGAGTTTTGATTGATTTGCAAAAAGGGTTAACCGAGGTCAAAATGGTTAGACGATAATTTACTTTTGCCACTAACAGGTAAAATTGACAGCAAGGTTTAAATAGAAATGTATAAAAGGAAGAAAATGTGACTACACAAACCTAGTAGACATGCCACTGTCCTAAATGCCATGATTGTGTATTCAAAATTTATTTGTCAGTATCCTTATACTTTTGTGCAATTCCACAGGAATCAGGAGTTCCCAGAGAGGAGTTGTTTTTAACTACAAAGTTATGGCCAGCGCAGTATGGCTACGAATCAACGATAATCGACTTCCAGAAGTCGTGTAAGCGACTAGGTGTTGATTATATCGGTACGTGTAGATTTAATGTTTGATGGTTACAATGTTGTATCTTGTATCTTTATCTTGTTCGCTCCCCATTGCCAGGGTGCACGTCAGCTTCTCTCGGCTACTCTTCACACGCTAGAGTGTTCGAGGTTACCATATTATTTGCGAATGGCAATTGTTCTCATTGTCATTGCAAAGCTGATAGGTGGCACTTCACATGTTTTCTTTGCTGCCCCAGGCACCACTATAGCAGAAATCGTAGAAAGAACGAAAAAATATCACATAGTGTTCATGGCCAGACTGACTGTACGACTGCACTTAATTTAATGCTTGCAGTTGCTGAGTGCACACGTGCATAATTGATGTAAACTTGACCTTTTTTGCATAGATCTGTACCTGATGCATTGGCCAGATTGTCCAAATGCCTGCAAAGACAAGAGGCAGCTGCGTGCTGACACTTGGAGGGCAATGGAGACACTATATAAGCAAGGTGCAGATAGATTAGACATTCGATTATTCAGCTCCCCACGGACTGTGATTCTCTTATACCCCATTTATACTGAAGCGGGATAACCCCCAGTATAAAAGGTCGAAAAATACTTAGCCCGAGCTAAAGTTATTCTGCTCTAGGAGGTGGTTCAGGTCCGCTTCAGACCCGAGCTAACGTCAGTATAAAACGACTTATCCCGAGCTAAAGTTATCCCGCTTCTGGTCTGGCTCGTGTATGCACAAACTGGCATGTAATCTTACACGGAAACCCTGGCGCAAAGCACCGTACAGGCACAGTATGCACTGGTTCTATTAGGTTCTTTTTATAAGATACAGGTAATTTGTGATAGGATCAGTATCGCTATACACCTTTCAAGATAATGATACCAGGGTTGTAGCCAGGACAATTTTAGCGGTTCACGGCCGGGGGTCCAGGGGCAACTAAGTGTATCCGTTGTGATTATTTGTAGATCACTATTTTGAAGGTAATTTTACGCAAACTCAATCATTTTTGTGCCGGTCGGAAGGATGTTTGTTATTTAAAGCTGCTTGCCGGTCGGTCAACACTAGAGCCGGCTATTACCGACCAGCGCCGACCAGCGTTGTTACAACGGTGTGTGTTACGTATCGCGATACTTTTAAGAGCAGCTTCCTAACAAACCGGCATTCTAGGAATTGTGTGAACACTTACAAATCAGTATTGTGTAGCACTTAAGCCCGCCGCACACGTGAGTTATTTTACTCAAGTAAAATGACGCATGAGTCATTTTACTCACGTGTGCGGCGGATTTTTGTTGAGTAATTTGACGCATGAGTCATTTTACTCACGTGTGCGGCGGATTTTTGTTGAGTAATTTGACTCATGCGTCATTTTACTTGAGTAAAATAACTGACGTGTGCGCCGGGCTTTAGTAAGCAACTGATATTGAATTTGTAAATTGTGTCATGATTCTTTTGTTTCTTTGTGAAACTGCCCATACTAAATGATATATACATTTTATTCAGTTGAGCGGTGATACACATATCGACGAATTATCCCATCCTTAATTAATCCGTATGGTACTGGTTCTCGTGGACTCTACTCTATTATACGATAGCTACTAAAACGCATGTAAAGACAGATACGGTGTCGTGAAGTTTTTCCCAGCCTTAAAATGCATTTATCAGCGCAGGATCAACGAGGAAACATGACGGCGTTCGTATCGATCACATCAGGGCCGTAGGCTGAGCAAATTCCTGGGGGGGGGGGCAAAATTTCATGACTCAACTGTGTAATGATGAGCGATGGGTGCAGCTCGTGATCGACTTCCATAGTGTGGTAGGGGTGGGTCCGAGACAAGAATTTTTCACTTTCACGGATAAGTGACCAAAAAAATCACGTTAGGGTTATTTACGATTATCAGCTAAGCTTATTTTTTAATTTTGCTCCAAAATCTAGGGGGGCAGCCGCCCCCCTTGCCCTGCCCCCACACACACAGGCTACGGCCCTGCACATGTTGCCAGTCCTCAGCGATGCCGTGCGCACCTCTACCGTTATCTGCGTTGTTGGCGGCGTCTCGTAAATCGTCTTTTCCAAAATCCTGGATCCGCCCCTGTTAAGTTGTATAGTATTGATTTTGTGTGCGGAATTATGATAAATATTATCGTTATATTTTAATTATGTTTTACGTGGCTGTACATTGTGTATGCTAAGCTAGCAGTCTAATCATGCCATTTCACTCTTGGAAAAGTGGGCATCTTTCATTTAACAAGTGTTCCCAGTGTACTGTAGTTATAGCGCACACGTGCTGTATATCGCTCACGTGGCTACTGATGGAGGCTTTTCATGGAGTTAACGTGAACGATTTTAGCATGGTGCGTTATCCGGTCATACCTCGACGCAGACTGCTGCTGTTGCAGCCAGTGCAGTTCTTTCGTTTCCAGTACGACGAAGAGATGTAACCGTAATTTCTAAAATGTCACACGCACCTGATTCGACAATGCTGTATGCCCTGTAGCTGTCACATCTAGGGCTAGGCTATTCGCTCATGCGTAGCTATATCAAAAGCAACTCGCTATTTTGCTATATGTGATGTTCGCAATCTCGACTCAGTCAATTGGGTCTTTGTACAGAGTTTTCTGCGTCTGTATGCAGCAATCTTTAATATGCGCTGATTGGAGCGTGTGTATATTTTTGGAGTGTTGGAGGTAATGCCATGGTCGTGTGCGTAAATTGTCATGGTTCAGGTGTCTGTAAAGGCCGGAGTATCGATATAGACCATAGAATATCCACGCGCAGTTCTTCCATAACTTCTATCCGAATGTACATGTACTGTTCCTATGTTTAGCATGCATATACTCATGTACATGCGTGTGTGTGTGCGTGCGTGCGTACGTGTGTGTGTGTTCGTGTGTGCGTGCATATATGCATGTGTGTGAGAGTGCGTGTCTGTGTGTTTGGGTAAATGTCTGTTGCATTTACATTCGGGCAGTTGCATCGGTAGCATTGCGCGTGCATGCTTTCTGTGTATATACGGCTCAAAATGCTCACGTTCGGCGTGTGGACACCGTGTGTGTGTGTATGGTTTGATAGGATTACCGTAATGCCGCGATGCACTTGCGTTTCTGATGCTTGTGCTGCTGTTGTCGTCAACGTTTCCTGTTTTAACACGGCTGGGAGGGTAGATGGATTATAGTAGAGTAGATACGGGTAGTGGCGTGGTAGGGTGGGAGGGTGTGGTAGAATTAGGTGTGGATAGGAGTGCGATTAGGAGAATGTGCAACTTTGGGATGTTGGATTTTGTGCAGTGTAAGAGGAGCGGAGGGTGAGGTAGTCTCACGTAGATGTAGGTGTAAATAGTGGTGTGGGTAGAAAGAGAGGGTGTGTCGCAGGTAGGTGTAAATATTGGTGTGGGTAGAAAGAGAGGGTGTGTCGCCGGTAGGTGTAAATATT